CGCCAATACCGAGAATAGCCGGTTCTCAAAAATCTAAGTTTGGGCGTCATTCTATTACTGGGTTCACAGTTACTCCTAAGTTTTAGTAAATTAAACCCCCCTCTTCCCCCCCCCCGTACTTAGGTAATTAATCTTCAACTTTGAGGCATATTTTCTCGGTTCCTGTAAAAGATCTCAAAAAGTAAAAAGTGGTCAACTGATAAAAATTTATAAGTTGACCACTTTTTGTTATATTTCCCAGGAACCGAGATATATGGGCTCAAAGTTGGAAGTTGGGGAGTGATTAGCCCCCAAACCTGGGTAATTAACGTTCAAACTTGGGTGATGAACCCTAAAATTGGGTAATTAACCATCAACTCTGAGCTCAATTATCTCGGTTCCTATGGGAGATATCAAAAAGTGGTCAACTGATAAACATGTTATCAGGTTACCACTTTTTGATATCTCTCATAGGAAGCGAGATAAATTGGCTCAAAGTTGGAAGTTAGGGGGGGGGGGGTGATTAACCCCCAAACCTGGGTAATTAATAGTTTTTTAATTGTTTATATTTTCAATGATTTTCGTGTTGTTCATGGGGATATTGAATTAATGATCTAGATTTTTAATTGCCATTTTCGAATGTAAGTATGTTTGATTTTCAATTCATTTTTATAAATCATTCATATTAATTTTCTTTTTTTCCCAGGTTCACACAATCTACGTGACATTACCCCTTCTCGATTGGAAAATATCCAGTTTTATAGCTCACAGTGCGAGAATTATATGGCGTTCTGTATCAGAGCATTTACGGTATCCTCTAGAAACTTCTTTCGAGGTGTTATGTTTTCAATTTTTATCAATTATCAATGTAATTCAAGATTTTCATCGGCTGAAATTCAAATTGAAATTCGAGTGAGCCGTAAATTTTGATAATTTTCCGATTTTTGCGTTTTCCCAAATTCTAAAAAAGTATAACTTTTTACATGATAAATTATTGAATTTCGTTTTTTTTTTCAATTTCCCAGAATATCTCGACTGAACATTTTCACCAAAAAATCAGAAGGGCAAGGCCCAGGAATAGTGCGCAGCTGTGAGTCTCGGTAATAAGAAAACATTCTGTACCACGCGTGCTAGCAAGCATTCAAGGTTGTCTGTTGCTGTCCAAATATCCACACTTGCAAAATCTCACCTTCCGAACTCTGCGTGTCTAATTGATCGACTTCACGCCTTCAATAACCACTACTTCATTTTTCATTGTGTATTTTTTATCGCTTATATGTTTGTTCATTCGTTCCACTCTCCCACATGAGGTATTTTTTAAAATTTGGGGGGGGGGGGGGAGGTTTCAAATTTCTAACTGGATAATTTAGAAACTGAAAATATTGAATTAATTTACATTGAAAATTGAAAATACCAAATTATGAGCTTATCTATAAAAACGAGTTTAATCAACTTCTGCGACCTCAAAAAACCCCAAATTCACAAAAAACCCAATGTGTGCTCACTCTTAATTTTTTGTTTCTGATTATGATTCTAAATGTCCTCCATGATTCCTCGTTATTTGTAAATCCCACTTCCAATAGTTGCAATACACAATAGTAAATACCGTAATCACTCTAATAGAAAGCCATCCGATTTGTCAAATTTGAGCCAATGTATCTCATTTTTTGTGCAAGATATCAAAAAGTTATTAACTAATAAAATGTTGCTGATATCATGATAAACATTTTATTAGTTGACAGTTTTTTGATATCTTCCAAAAGAAATGAGATATATAGGGTTAAAATGGACGGTCCGCGTGGCGTTCTATTAGAGTGTTTACAGTAAGTTCAGTAGGTTTTTTATAAGCGTTCGCATATATTAACAGAACAGAGTCTTAAAAATGATTTTGAAGGGGTATCACAAATTCCAACAAAACACTATCTACCGTAAAACCTCTAATAGAACGACACCCGGATCGTCCACTTTGAGCCTATATATCTCACTTCTTTTAAAAGATATCAAAAAGTGGTTAACTAGTAAAATGTTTATCAGGATATCAGCAACATTTTACTAGTTAGCCACTTTTTGATATCTTTCACAGAAAATGAGATATATAGGCTCAAATTTGACAAATCGGATGGCTTTCTATTAGAGTGATTACGGTATTTACTATTGTCCGGGTGTCGTTCTATTAGAGGTTTTACGGTATATTGGCCTTCGGACAGTTGTCCTGTCCTCTATCTCT